TAATCTAAACATGACAACATTGCAATTGCTGCCAACTTAATTTGGTTAAGATGCATTAAAATATTTAATTACAGACTTCGTTTTATACATTTACTCGTAGTATCGGAATGTCGTTTAATAATTAGCTTAAATCTTCCACAAATTTTAACCAATTAAAAAAAATAGAAATGATTTTTAATGACATTTTTATGCTGTACATCCTGGCCTACTTTATTTTTGATATCTTTAAAAAACATAACCTCAAAGTTTTGTCACGAACTTTTTTAATATTTTGTTGGTTTGTTTTGGTTAATTAATCTAAATAAGCTTTAAATAAACCAACACAATAGGAATACATAGACCAATACCATTTAGGGAGTCCAGTATATTTAGGTTTTTTTTTAAATTATTCGGTAAGATTTTTTTAGATTGTTAGAGTACGGTATATGAACCTTAAATTTAAGTTTCGACCATTAACACCTTGCAGATTTTCCGCAATTTTGGATTTAGGGGTAACTACAATAAAAATATATCTTTTTATAGTAGAAAAACTACTTCTATATCGGATTTAACTGTTGGTTGGTCCATTTTCAAGAGATACATTTCGAGTTACACATAAAAATTTGACATTTTGGTTACTCTATTGTTTTATAGATGTCGCTATTTAATTTAAATAATTTTTAGATATTAATAAGTATTTTTTGTAAAAAAATATAATATGCAACTCGTTTATAAACTTCTCTAGGCACTCATGTAATGAGGGCTTAATTAAAATTGGTTATTAAACTTGAAACGTAATATAATTTTAAAATTTGTTATCATCATTAAATCCTCCTATTATTAATGTCCATTGCAATTGTAGTACTTCTAATAATTAATATTACATTTCTATTGTCCAAAATTCAAGAATTATTCAAAAAGCAGATACTACATATATTATATATGTCAACTTTTAGGTTTAATATTTAAATTATGTATTCATACAAAACATAATTTAGTTAGTTGAAAGACAGCTAGTTACAAACATAAATTACTACCTTCACAACAAAATCGATATTTCAATACATATGCGTTAATAAAATAAACCTTTTAAAAATAATATTTTTGTACCGTTATATTAACATATTTTTCATTTAGCTTTCAAATGTTTATATTATCTGCATTTAGCAATACCCTTTTAAACCAAACTTAATTTTGTGAGGAAACTAGTTATAAAAGTTTAACCAAGTTTGAAAACCTAAACAAAAAACTTTGTTGAGATAAAATTTAATCGCTTACTTGTATATGGAGGGTATTAAATTAAAACCTTTATTTTATATATTTAATTATATAAGGAAAGTTAAACTTTATACAAAAACATTCCCCCACAATAAATTTGCGTGTTCATAGAGAACTTATTTTAAGTAAATTTTAACACTAACTTATTAAGATATATGAGTATACTGATGGAGCTAGATAACATAAAATAAAATGTTTGGTTTTACATTTGATTTTATTATTCATGAAGGATGTAAACAATAAATATTTTGAGTTGTAAATTTTTAAAAATATTTATTTCTTTTTCTGAAATATATTGTTTATTTTTTTAATAAAAAGTACATCAAATTTAAAAAAAAAACATTGTTATGTACTCTCTTAAAATGAATTAGTCAAAAATAACTAATTATAAGTCATATTTTACTAATTGTCATAGCGAAAAAGAAGTCATTAATAATTAGTCAAATTCTACTGAATGAAAGAGTCTAATTAGTAGATTTAAATTTAAAAAAGTTTTGACCCAGTCGGGGATTGAACTCAGGTCTGTCACTTGTCAAGCTGTTGTCATAAACCATTCGGCTATCAGCCGCTCTTATAAAAATCAATTTTATTTGTCAATAAATATTGTTCATAATATTTTAAAGTTGAATATATTATTTGTGTTGCTGTTTTGAGCTAAACTTTTTGCACCTTTATTTGTTTTTATGGGTCATTTAACAATGGAGCTTAGGTATATGCATTTAATTCAAATAATACTTTGTTGTTGGCCGCAAACGATTAAAGAAATTGGTTTCTTTTAACTCTCAGAAATAGTCAAAGATGGTGACTAATCTTAAATTAGTCAAACGTATATAGTTACTTAGTAAACAATAACTATTTAAAAGTGAAAACGACTATTTTATTAGTAAAAAATGCTGGTACTAATTCAAATAGTAGAATTTTATTTTTAGAGAGTGGTAGTTTATTTGTTAAAATAAAAATAATTCTAATTTTTACTATTTTTTACGTATTTTATACACTATTCTTTCTACAAACAGCATTAAAAGTCGATAAAGTTTATTGTTGCTAAAGTTTGTTGATACTTTAAATCTCGTAAGATGGAAAGTGATCAAGAAAATGAATTTCTTACAAATTTTTGAAAAATGGCAAAGTATATTAACCGAAAAAACCTGGAACAAATCGATACATTTTTCCCAGAAGTGCAGGATGTTAATTTTGTTCTATTTTTGAACCAGTGCTAAAAGTGAATTACTATTAACACGACATACTTTTACTGGCGTTTGTAGAAAAAAAAATATATTATAGTAGTTCTACTCGCTAAATACAAAACAACAAAAAACAAAAAAATAACGTTTCTGAAATATGAATGGATCTAAATGTACCATAACTGATCCTAAAACCATCAAAACATTTTTAAAATGAAATTTTTAATACCTGGAAAAAGACTTTTATTTATTTTGCGTTCATAATGCCTTCATTATAATTATTTTATAGGTTGGCTATACTTTAAACAGCAAAATATTTTGCATATTGGTTATAATATTTTTATGATTTTTCTAGTACTTACGAGACTTTTCTGGCAATAAATTTTAATAAACACCAAAGAAAATCCTGATTTTCTTCTTTACATTAACAGCCACTTATTGTAAATTAAATTTAAGGTATAAATTTTATAAATTGTCCACGTACGACAAAATGACGTCTTAGGACATTAGTTCTTTAATATACTATTGTTCATTTATTTAAACTAAATAAATAAATCCTTTTGTTGATTAATTCATTGGCCTGGCAATGATTCCCAATGGCCATATCAGGATGGCGGTTATCTGCCAGGATGTCAGGACTTGGGTAGGATATCGGTCGCTACGGCAACCATCATACGTTCCACGTTGTACGTACATGTAACCGGTAATCAAAATTAAGAGTCATGGTTTGACGGTAGTCCCCATATAATAATAGTGAAATAGCGAACGTTAAAATACCTAAAGTGCAATAAACATTCCTTTCGCGCATGAAAATAGATCTTTCGCAAACTGCTTAATGCTTAACATGATTTAAATTTTAATTTCGAGGTTTAGTGTTATTTGAGATGTTGTGTGGCAAATATCGTAAAACAAAACCTATTAAACTGTGCTCTCGACGAAAACTTAATGCTTAAATAGTTTTCAATGAATGATTCACACATTTTTAAATTTATTATAGGAAAATAACTACACAAATATTTGGATCTTTCAAAGCTTTTAGTACTTACTAATTTCATTAAAACTTCTGTTTCACACCATTCAAAAACTTTTGTCATTGGAACCGAATTTCCAGTTAATTAAACGGATTTTGTTCATATTTACAACGTTAGAAATAGAAATTTGTCAAGTTTAAAATAAAGTTTATTGTTAAGTTTGAAATATTTTTTCAATTATTAAAGTTATGATATTTTTGTGGGTGAATATATTGAGATGTTCCCCAAGTGAAAATAATTATTTTTTATTTTTGGTTGTTTCACTGTTAGTCTAGAATAGGGTTTTTTAGAAGCCACCAGGTCTAGTAATAACATAATATAAGTGGTTCTGCACTAAAGCAAGAATTTTAAGAAATCATATATTTTGAATATTAGAGCTTCACGGAAGATAGCTTCACGGAGGTTAGGATTTCTTATGTTTTTTTAAATATCCCTTTGTATATTTGAAATAAGTTATAGTATCTTTGACACCTTAATATTTAAAAAAAAAATACAATTGTACATACATAAAATATTTATAAAAAAAATCTATATAATGAGATATTACACTTCACGGTGAATAGGTTTTTAAATAGCAAATTAATGAACTTAAACTCTTGAATAATAAAACAGCAACATTCTCATCAACAGAGGTTGTTGCTTATTTAAAATGATTAAAGCGCCATCCGTTACATACAATTTAAAGAAAAAAACAGATTCACGGAGGATAGAATTGTAACACCTACATAAATTATTATAAAAATTATTTCTTTTAATTTTTAATTATATTTTATATTTGATTCCATTGCTTTGGATGTGTTTAATTTACTTAGTGAACTGATATTTTTAGTATGCTTTTACTACCACAGATATTTGAAAACATATAGGTTAACCTAGAAAAAAATAATTGTCACGGAGGATAGGTTTTAGACTTTTAAAACATTGTAAAAAATAATTAATTGCGGTTAAAAATCTGGAACCTGAGCTGTAATATCTACTTAATTATGAAAGATCAACAAAATTAAAATTGTAGTTTAGTTTTATTAAATATCAAGGGGTAACACCATCGGGGGACATTTCGTGAGATTCACCCTATTATGAAATATAAATGTAAAATACGAAAAATGTTTATAAACAAAATTCAATTTCATTCTACTTAAACCGATCTAGATAAGTTATATTTTAATTGGGTAACCTATTTCACATTTTAAAACTTTGTTGAATTACAAAACAAGCTATTTATTTTTTAGCAACCACTTACAAAATTTATATAATATCTGAATGTATAATATAATTTAACAAGTTTGTTTATTTTAATAATTGTATTTATTTATGTTTGGGTAATATATTATACCAAAGTATATAACTTTTATGTTGGACTTGATAATCAGATACATAAATATTTTACTAAATGCATTAATAAAATCGTGCTCATAATTATAATTGCGAAATATAAATAGTGATGTATTTCAGTAAAAATTATGTTTTCTAAAGTATTGTGACAAGGAGAAAAACCTTAAACCTGTCGAAAATACGTAGACTTTCCAACATGGAGGAAGAAGAAGATGAAATCACTTCTCTATCAAAAGCATCATCAACTGTCACACTTACTCAACACAACGTCCAATCGCTATCGAGAACGTCAACAACATCAACTCTTGCGGCGCCGAACATAAAACTAGAAGGCATACCCAAATGTCAGATATTTACGCAGCAAGCATCAGCGGAGTCCATTGAGTCAGAGGAGAGCACTTCACAGAGTACGTCGCAAAAAGTATCTCCCAGATACTCAATACTATCCAAGTCTCCGCATAGTAGTAGCAGCCAGGAAGAGTACGAGCCTAAGGGTCAGTTTTTATCAGCCGGACATCGCACTGAAACCACCAAAAGCATGGAGAGTTTAAGGACGTCATCGAAATCATTTTTATCGGCTAGCGAGAAGGATATGAGGCGTATTTTCACCGAGGCAACAGAGACTAAATCGTTAGAGAACATAGAGCGAGAGATGAGGCTCAAAAGACACGCCGTCTCCGGTGAAGGTCAAACTCTTGCTGGTTCACTAGGTAGCTCTGACGATACTATATCGGCTGAAAGACGCAGAGGGCTTTGGGCGGGTAGAATGAGGGTTCCTCAGCATCTAAGTCTTCCTCCACCGGCTGGGTATTTGAGTCTTAGTCCGGGCGATAGAAAGTTGACCATACTATCACCACATTCGCCTCATAGAATGCCTGATCTTCTTCACCTATCACAAACCACATTGAAGACCAGGAGAAAGAAAGCTACTGTTTTGCCTAGATTGGTTCTACCCAGAAGTGACTCGGATATCAGTGAAGTCTTCTCAGAGCATGGCTTAGAGTAAGTACCTAAATACAAATATTAAAATTGCATTCTATTTATTTTTAAAAACATTTTTTTAAATAGAATGCGATATATTGCCATTATAGTGAAGCCTAAATATCAATTTAGGTTTCAAGTTTTAACATTATAATTTTTTAATTATATTTAATCATCTGCAGGCATTTGGAGTTCACTTCCTCTACCAGGAGATTTTTAAGGTTAATACTTAAAATGTGTGGCTTGTGCACTGAACATAATCACCGCTATACAGGGTGTTTCAGGTTTAGAAGCAGGCCTTCACCAGGGAATGTTGAAAGTTATTTTACCTAATATTATATCGGGTGGTCCATAATGTTAATAATATACATGTTTCTATGACTTAAGTTAGTTGACAGTTGTCAAATGCAGTGATGTAATGTATCGAGATACATGTATCTAGATACTGGATCTAGATACATTTTATGTACCTAGATACGTATCGAGATACTTAAAAAAATCAGGATCTACTTTAGTATCTAGATCCTTTTGAAAGTATCTAGATCCTTAGATACAAGATACATTTTATTTTACCCAACCTGATTGCAACTCCACACCGTGTGGGCCACAAATAATAAAAAGATATTTTATTTCTTTTTCCCTTCAACCCACTTTGGAGTGCGAAGTGCATAAAGTAACTCTTAGGCACTAGTGAGTAAAGTTAAACAAAAGCGCTGTAGGTTACCTATAGTTGGCTTTTCTTCGTTCTGATAATTTTGAATTTGTACTACAAATTTTGTAGTAAGCTTTCATATGGCGAGTAAATATAAAATTTATTTCCGTTTTTCATGGATATTTCGTCAATTTTATCAAAACAGTTTTATTTTATAGTTAACACGCTTGTTTATAAGGTCCAAAAAATTTTTTTTTGTCATTTAATTTTTAAGTTTTTTTAACATAGTATCTGGAAGTAACTTAGATACTTTTTGAATGTATCTGTATCTGTACCCAGATACTTTTGGGAAAATGTATCGGTATCTGTACCCAGATACATCTACCAGAGAGTATCTGTATCGGTACCTAGATACTGAAAAAAATGTATCGGTTACATCACTGGTCAAATGTCAAACCATCGTTAAAATAAAGTGCCCTTCTTGTAAAATAATACTAAATGTAAAAACTATTTAATTATCTTAATACAAAAACACAAAAGTATTACAGTTTCTCAACGCCAATATTTGAAATTTTTAAATAAAAATTGTACTGACTGTTTAATTTTGCCGGCAGTAAACTAGATTTAACTAAATTTTGGGTGGTGCCAATAAAACATTTTTTTACTTTCACTGTGAAAAACTGGTTCTATATCGGTCCATTTTCAAGGGATACATTTCGATTTACACGTAAAAATTTGACATTTTTACCGGTGCGCCTGTAATACAGATTCTTAAGTTGGTTACTCTATTGTTTTATAGATGTCCCTCTATACAAATATTAAATTTAAATCAAAAAGTATAGTATGCAACTTTTCTTGCTCATGCCAAAATTAAATTCGTGTCTAAAATGGCGTTTAATAAACTTGATACATAATATACCTACTATTAATACTAAACCCAAAATTTGTTAAATTACGGACAACCCGATATATTTCTTTTTAGTTAAATTAATTTTCTATATCCATTGCTTATGTGATGCACCTGGGACACCCTATATAGTATCTATAGCTATGTCAAAACCTAAAATGCATGCTTTTATTAGTTAAAGAAGGTTACTTAAATAATTAAGATTTATATTACAAGATTTTATATAATTTATAAATCTTATTTATTTTAACCACCCTGTATAATTACTTGCTTTGCACCACGTTTAATTGTGTTCTTTACACATTGCTTTGAAATTTCTGCTTTTATAAGTATATATAATATAAAATTAATTAATAAACAGATGTGACTTAATATGTGGGTAGTATGTTTAATAAATTTGATCCAAATTGACTTAATATAAATACTAAAAAGTTTATTCCGAAATTTGCATATTTATGATCTTTTACCTTTATAAAAAAATTGTATTTATTAATTTACAAAAAACCTTTCAAAGGGATAAATATTGAGTTTTCTGAAAAAGAAATGTAAGAAGCTCTGATAAATTTACTTGGTATTTACTGAACATTTTCTTTTAAAAATAAAATATTTTACAATGATTTCTTTTATGTATTTCCAAACTCTATTCGTTTTACTTTGGGAAAACTCTTTTATTAAACATAACAATACCTTTACACGTTTGTAAAAATTGAAATGCTTATAAAAAATAAAAAAATATTTCGTTATTTCCGTGAAGAAAATACCTTGTGATGTAATATAACCTCAAATATTCATTGAAAAAACGTGTTATCCTTAATTCCAAATTCATCAAAATATAAACTAATCAAATTATATGTGTATACAGTTAACGCAATTGCACTTAAGATTCTAATTTAGGAATGGAATATGTAAAGCTATATTACATCCACCAAAGAGCGCAGTGCATTTTAAGTTTAGTAGGTATAGTCAATATGTGGTGTATGAATGTAAGGTTCTTAAAAATATCTGCCAGAATTCGCAAGGTGTAGAAAAATTATTTTAAAATTTATATTTTTGTTAAAAGCCTAGACAATTTTCTTTGTCATTTTATTACATACAGTTATTTTTTTTTGGGCTCGTGTTTTTTTATTAGGTTGGTAGCTTATGCCAGTTTGATTTAGTATTCTTAGTATTTAAAAAATGGTACTTCTGACCTTAATTTAATACTCTGACACTGTCAAATTGACAGTAATATTTATTATTGATAATTTACTTCTTAATAATTAGGAAGTAAATTATCAATAATAAATATTACTGTCAATTAATTAATTAATTATTATTATATAATTTCGATATAAAAAAATACCTATGCCAAAATTAATATCAAATCCTAAAGTAAAATAACTTTTAAGTCAAGAATGGCAGAAAAAGTACATCGCCTTATGGACATGGAGTAAAAAAGTAACGTTTTTGGTTTTACAAATATTAAATCACACATTATTTTCAGCTAAGCAGACCAAAAATTTTTAAAATTTTAAAAATAAAGGGGGAAATAAAAAAATAAATATTATTTCCTGTTAGGTTCAACCTTTTTGTGAAAAATCTAGTAGTTAATTTTCCTATATTTGAAAATAGCATCCATTTGGTTTGAAAAAGATCAGCAATAATCACGAAACTATTTCTTCTTTCAATTTGCTTTACTGATCATTAATAGTACTGGACAATAAACGAGGTGTGTTCAGAAAATATCGGGAATTTTCGTTTTTTGAAACAAATATTTATTTATTAGTCTACATTAATGTTTTTAATGAAAACAGCTAAAGTTTTTATCTTACTTCAAGGGCATGTATACCAACATAATAAAGAATATTTTATGACAACCGGACCCTCCGAACCCGCGAAATTTAACAATTCCCGTTATTTTCTGAACACACCTCGTACAGTTATTTTTTTTTTATTTTGACTCGTTTTTTATTAAGTTGGTAGCATATGCCAGTTTGTTTGATTTAGTATTTAAAAAATTGTACTTAATTAAATACTCTGACACTGTCAAATTGAGAGTAATATTTATTATTAAAAATTTACCCGTTAATTATTATATAATTTGGATATAGCAATAATAACGAAATTTTTTATTTTTTCAATTTTCCAAGTTACTGATCATTAATAGTCCTGGACAATATATACATTATAATTATTATTAAGCCACTACAAGTATTAACGTCCAGTAGCTTTAACAAACTAATGGGGATTGGAGTCCAATGATTGGACAACATTCACGTTTTTTTATGTAAACTTTTCATTCCTTTTATATAAGTTCTTTTCAAAGCGAACTACGAATTTTGACAACTCAACTTGACAACCGTTCAATGTAACCTACAATAATTTAAACATAACCACAATTACATTATAATTACATTTATAACTAGTTTAGTTTTTTTTAATCAACGCAACCAATTTTGGTTCCTTATTTACCAACCAAAATTTGCAATTTGCAACGTTGCCGCAGTCCAGATAAAAAAAAATGTACTTTATATACTGTGACACAGGAACGTGCATTAAAAACGTAAAAAAAATAGGATTTAAACGCGACAACATTGCGAGTTGCAGTGACTTTTCTATATGCAGTGTTATTAAATCTTAAATTGAGTTGTGAAAACGAATTATTATGTTCAGTAAAACTAGAAAAAAATTATTAAAAAAGTAAAGCTGTGAAAAATAAAGATAAAAAATCATAAAAGGTAGAAAAACTGCATAATTATTAAAAAAATAATAATTAATAATAAATAACAATACAATTGAAGACATAAGTGGATAAAGGTGTTATGTCACATTTTAAGGAAAAAAGGACAAACAATGTTCATACTAGTAACACTTTTCTCTATTATTTTTAATCTTACAAGGAACTACCAAAAAAGTTTTTTTTTAATTATTATTATAATTTAAAAACTTAAAAGTATCCACCAAACTGTTTTTTATGCAAAAATAATATTTAAAAATCTTCTCTATTTTACTACCTCAAATGTCACATAACTACTTTATCCACTTATGTCTTCAATTGTGTTTTTTTTAATAATTTACCTAAAAGGTATTTTGGTAGTTCCTTGTAAGTTTAAAAATAATAGAGAAAAGTGTTACTACTAGTAACTTACTAGTATGAACATTGTTTGTCCTTTTTTACTTAAAATCTGGTAGTCACCAAACAAATCAAACCAAATATCCCTGGATGATCACGTGTTCGTAATCCAGTGTTGCCGGATCTTCTAGATGAAAATGACAGATTAATCATTTTGGTTGCACACAGTCAACTTTGTCGTTTATTATTGCAGAACTGTGCGGTGAAAAATTTAAAGGCATAAGTGCATACGAGAAAAAAAATCAATTTTTTTCTAGGATGCTCTTATACCTAAAGAACGATAACATCCCGTGTAGTCTTAGCTATTTTAATGATTTTTTTACTCGTGCCCAAACCTTCTTAAATAAGAAACAT